TAGGACACCAAACCTCCAGCAAGCTATAGTCACCCCACAATGAATGATAAAGCTAAGGTGATTCAAGAGTCTCCCACCAAGCACAGACCCACATGCCAAGTGGGAGACACGTCTGTCACATGTTTCATGGGCTCTGAAGAGGATGAAGGGAATTACTGGGCTGGAAAGATGGCTCAGTCAGCAAAGTGCTTGCATCGTAAGTACAGGGTCCTGATTTTGACCCCCAGAGCCTTGCTTGTCTCTGTTCTTTTGTTTCTAAAACCCCTTTTTAAGCTTTTGTCAAGTTTTAAGTGGAAGTTCTTAGTACCCACGTTGCAGGAGCCATTTTGTTATGAGCAGTTTTCCCACCAGCCTGGTCCCACAGCCGCGTCAGCCCCAAATAACACACAGAGACACAGTATTAGATATAAAGTGGTTGGCCTGTTACTAGCATTTCTTATTGGCTATCTCTGTCTTAAATATTAACCCATCTCTATCAATCTAATTATTTCCATGTGGTCTTATCTTACTGGAGAGAGGGTCCAGATCTTCTTCTCCCTCAAGTCTCTACATGTTGAATCTCCTCCTACCTCTCCCTAAATCCTCCTTGTTTCCTAGTCCCGCCTATCTTGCTTTCCTATTGGCCAACAGGGCTTTATTCATTAACCATTATAAGAAACATATTTACAAAATGATATCTTCCATCACTTTGCACATTTGATAAGACCTGACACAACCTCAAAACTCTCTGCAGAAATGGTGATTTATGGCTTTTTGTTTGTATGGCAACAGGCATGGAATCCTGGCTCTTGCATATGCTAGGCAAATATCCAACCACTGAACCACATCTCTATCCTTGACATGGCCATTTTGAGTATGTGATCTAGAATGAAGCTAACAGAGGTTACAATCTAAACTTGTCCAATATCCAAACCTTAACTATTAACTAGGAAATAGGCTGTGAAGATGGGTATCTAGCTCAGGTGCTATGGACCTGGCACATGTCTATTTTCACTATGGTCTACTCATCCAATAAAATGCTTCTTAAACCAACACTGTGGCATTGTGCAGATGGCAGAGGATGTGAGGCAGCAAAGGGACCCTGCATCATCAAAGGTCTCAACAAGGAAGCATCAGTCAGAAGCAAGTTCCCAGGCTTGAGCCTGGTCTATGCCATCCTGCCTCATCTGTTGCTCTAGAGCCAGTGTCCTGAATAGATTTTTAGGTACGTCAACTTGACACAAGCTAGAATCATCTGAGAGGAGGGAACCTCAATTGGGAGAATGCTTTCATGGGATTGGACTATGGGTAAGCCTATAGGGCATTTTCTTAGTGATTGATGAGGGAGGGCCCAGCCCATGAGTAGGATCACCCTTGCCTGGTGATTCTGGGTTCTGTAAGAAAGCAAGCTGAGCAAGCCATGAGAAGCAAGCCAGTAAGCAGCATCCCTCTGTAGCTTCTGCATCAACTCTTTCCACCAGGTACGCACTTGGTTTGAGTTCATGCCTTGGCTCCCCTCAATGAACTGTGATTACGGATATGTAAATCACAAATAAGCCCTTTCCTCCTCAGGTTGCTTTTGGTCATAGTGTTTCATCACAACAAAGTGATTTTCTACCAAGAACCAGATAGTGTTTTCAGTTGTATAGACTTAGTCACAACTATCCAACTTTACAACTGTAGAACAAGAGCAGCATGGGCAAAATGCATTTGAATGGGTATGGTTCCATGTCAATAAAACTTTATTTACAAAAGGAAGTGGTGGGCCAGATTTGGCCCCAGGAGGGCTGTTGGCTAGTGTCTGCTCTAGATTTTTGGAGTTTATACAGTCAACAACACTGAACTGGAACTAAATGAAGAAGTAGTCTATATTTCTTCTACATGCCAGCCAACCTTCATATGACTACTGCTGTTCACTGGGTCAGGGTTATATGTGTAGTGATATATTATTTATGACTCATTAAAGCTTGCCTGAGGATTCAGAAAGCAAAGTCAGCCACAAGCCATAGAAGCCAAGCACACACCTTTAATCCCAGCAGCCAGAAGCTAGGAGGTGATGGTACAATATCTGTCTCTGGGTCTGTAAGACCCTCAGAATGAGGAATCCCCCAGTTTCGGTCGGTACCCCAAGAACTCAATGTCCAGTGCAGTTGCTGCAACACGCAAGAGGCTTTAATGAACAGGAAACATTTGTGCAAACGGGCTCCTCCAGCACATAGGCTAGAGAGAAGCACCATCCCCCGGGCACAAGTGTTTTTAAAGGCAAAACCCACAAGCTTAGGGAAGGGGTGGGACCCCCTTTGAGGCCAGATGGTCTCGCTATTAGGGTCAACAGACCTTAGGGCCTCAGGATGTGCTAATTAATCTTGTCTGGGCAAACCGGAGGTACAGTTATCTCTTTGTTTCTTAAGGACCCTATTCACCACCTGCTGACTCACAAGAAAGGAGAGGCATCGTGAATTCTTGGTATCTTATTATCTCAGGGCCTTGTGAGGGGAAGTTAGCAAATTCCAAGGAACAGATATAGGTCTGGGTTAGCTTTCCAGGTTAGTCTGTCCTTCATTTCAAGTGGGGGGTTTCTTTAACTTTACTTTTTTGTCTTTCATATATATAACACTTTTTGTGTTATATATATGGGCCTCATTCATGCCCAGTTTCTCCTTTGCTGCCAGGAATCTGCCCCTATCTCCAAAATCCTTGGTGCACACACACACACACACACACACACACACACACACCATACCCTATTATGCATCCTTATTGCTTCTTCTCAAGATCCAACTTCTTCCCCTGAGTCTGAATGAGACACTTATGGATGTACACAATTAATGAGCATCAAGGACACATGTTTTTGAGGTTAAAGTCACAAACTTTAAGCATGGCTCAGAAGATTTCCTTCCCAAACGGCGTGGGTGTAAACCTACAGGCCACCCCTGAGAGTTTCCTTTGCCTGTGGGAATTGGTTGGGGTTTTTTTTTTTTTTCTTTAATTATGGAAAACAGTCTTCATAAAATAGAAGGAAGGTGGCCAGGAAAATGGCATAGTTGAGAAATCATAATGTCTCATCTCCTCAACATGATTTATGCTTACTGCCAGCCAGACCAGCATCCCCCAGCCAGGGCAATACCTCACCCTGTAGATACTGCAGGTCTTAGCCCCATGGAAAGCACACAGGGAACACCTCAAGAATCCATGGGGCTGATAGCTATCTGCAAGTCATTTGAATATACATTAAGATCTCTTTTATGATACTAACCAACCACAAATGACTGGCTGGAGACAAGTCAGGGTTTCTCTTCATCCCTAGCACCTCCTAATTTAGTGAGCTTCTTTGACTACAGGCTAACCATTCCTCCTTGTGTTCTTTTAGATAGAATCCTCCCTAGAGAGGACTAGCCATTCTTATTCTATCTTGCAGCAGCACTCTCTTGACACAGAGGAGGTAGGGAGTTTGGGTGGCTTTTTTATTTCTTTTTTTTTTTTTTTTCCCTTTTGGTTTCACAAAGGAGAGTGAGGATTTCATGGCCTGATTTAGGTCAGGGCGCTTGAAAAGGAGGAAGGATAAAGCCACAGGGGACCCAGGGGCTTTAGAAATCCAATCTGTCTTACCCCAGCAACCTCAGAGAAGCAGGATAACTCTCTGCCCTCCTGGGTGGAAGTCACCTTTCTAGATAGACTATTCCACAGACAGATGGAGGAGTGGCAGTTTCTCAATCTCTGGATAAACCAGAATCCTGCTGTAGGGCAGACAGGGATGTTAGGTGTTCCTATTCCCTCCCACAGAGCTCACTGAGCCCTCTCAGCAAATCCAAAAGTCCACACAAACCTACACAAAGGCGTCCACCATGTATTAACTTATTTCACCTTTGCAATGACCCCACCTTACAGATGTGTGGTAAAGATCCTCCACCCTACAGATGAGGAAGCTGAGGCGCAGAAAGGTTAAGGAATCTTGTCCAAGGACAAGAGACTCACAACTTATAAGAGCGAAGCTGGGACTCCAACCTCTGTAGTGGAGCTCTGAGCTCTCACAGCCCACAAGTTGCTACTCTGTGCATCCTGTCTTCGAAATAAGCAGGACTTTGGTATCTTCCCAAGAGTGCTTCTGAGAGCACAGAGCCTTTGGTCTGGGTGGACCAGGAAGGCTTGAGTCCAATTGCTAGAGTGATAAATCCCAGGGATGGAGGAAGGGTCTCCCATCCCCAGTCATGGGACCACCTATGAAAGTGTCCACATGATTCAGCCCCAGACTCCCCAGACAGTGGTCTTCCCAACATCTTCCTGGCACTCAAGACAGAACACACACTTATACTTCAAACTCAGTCCTTTCCTCAATAGAAATGAACTCACAAAAATAAACAAATAAGATGCAGAGAGTTCTGATGTAACACCTTATGTATCCTATCGTTTGTGAGCTCCCTCTGGGTGACCATTCACACCAAGCCATTTGCCTGTACCTGATTTTATTCTGTGACCAAATGCACATCTTAGCAAGATGGCTGGCATGAGCTGTGACTTCCCTGATGCCAATTTTCCCCTTCTTAAAACATCAGACAGACCTATAGCCAAGGCTGCCTGAGAAATCCCCTAACTAGAAAAGATGTGGCCTCGGCATGTAAGCCACTCCAGAGGTGCCTCCAGGCTCAGCTGCCCTTGGCACTCAGGGGCAGAGAGGCAAGGGACAGAAAGTCCAGGACTGACAGCTGTCCCCAAAGGTGGGCACATGCAGCACTCTACCCTGTCTCTCCTGTCAGTTTCTCTTCAACAGCTAGCCAGGGGAAACAGACATAAAATGACAAACAGGGACCCTCACTTACCATGCCCCAGAGGCAGCTTCAAGCCTCAGAGTCAGGCCTAAAAAGTTTATCATTTAAAGTGACAAATGTCAGCTATCACATCTCAGGTTAGTCTCACTCAGAATAGCAAGGAGAAAGAGATCAGACAGACAGACTGACAAACAGACAAGGAGAGACCTCCACTACCAGAAGACTCGGCTTCCCCACTCTCTGGCCACATCCTACCTGCTTCCATCAGCTGGCATTGTTGGCCGAAGACCCGGGAGAAGGTAACCCGGCCTGTGGGGGAAGTGGATGCCGTCAGCACCGACTCCATGAAGGTAGTAGTAGGTCCTTGCTGTTAGTCTTGTGGCTGTGATGGGATGCTTCGTGTCCCACCAGCAGGCTTTATCACTATCCCAGTAGTATCACTATCACAGTAGTAGATTTGGGGCCACTTAAAAAAAAAAAAAAAAAAAAAAAACAATGTCCCTGCCTCCAAAGTTTATAAGGCGCCTTGCCCTGGACACTCTGCTCTGTTCCTTGCAGTTTTTTCTCAAACCCCGGCAGGTGTTAGCTGCAGATCCCAGTCTAAACTGCCCCAACAGGAGTTACTTCCTCTCTCCAGGAAAAGAGCCTGGATGTGGACCGGCCTCTCCTGTAACTCGGGAAGAAACAATTGCTGCTCAGCCCTGGGCCACACTGGCTAGAGAGGGCTCCAGCCCTGCTGCGTCCCAGCACCGGCTACAGGCAAAGCGCTGTCCAGGCTCCCTGGGGAGTTCACAGGCAACTGCGCTGGGCTTCTGCGTCCTGGCTGGATTTCTGCAGCTCCAGGGTCTTCTGGGTTCCAGGGACCGCTGCAGCCTGAAAAGACTGTGAGAGGTGTGCGCTACAGCTCCAGCGGGCGCTCTGCAGCTGGGGGTCCACGGTCGTCGCTGTTCATCCTTCACTCCCCCAGATGCCTTTGCCTTCCAGTTCCCCGTAGCCTGGCCAGGCAGTGGGAATCTGCGGAATGACACGTGCTGACAGAGCTCCTACTGCGACCTACTGCAGCGGGTGTCCCTAGCTCGCTTTGCAGCCTGATTTCCGTGATGCAAAAGGGGCTGTTACTTGGAGAGCTCCTGGATGTGGAGGGGAAGTGCTAACTCAGCCCAGCAGGCTCCAGGGCTGGAGTAACCTCTTCATGTCCGCAGCCAAGGAAGCGCCAGACCCGGGACACCAGACCGCTGGCAATGGAGTGCTTAGACCCAGGAAAGGAGAGCTGAAAAATGTCGTCCATTCCCAGCGACCCCGGAGGGAGAGAGCAGAAAAGGGGCCGCATCTCAGTCACCTTAGGTCACCCTGGGCTAGAAGCAGAATGGTTAACCCCACTATTTCAAACAGTTTGTCGGGGTGGGGGGGGTACCTTCCACAGGATCATAACCACTGCCTGGGTAGGCACTGGGTCTTGAACTTGCCATCCCATCAGCCGATGACAAAAATGCTTTTAAAGACACTGTCCCACCTCACTCTAGCTCAGTCCTGGCTTTAACTCCAACACTGCTGGGACTGTCGCTGGCAATTACCTGGTTCGCAGAGTCAGGAGCCTCTGAAGGAAGAGGAGATGCTCCAATCACAACCCACCCTGCGCACACAGCCACTATAAGCCATCTAAGCACTAGTGTCTGTTCCCTACCCCAACCCCCACTCCCCCCCCCACCCCCAGAGATGATTTTAGCCTCTTCAGAGCTAAAGGCACAGTTCTTTTTGGACACACGGGGTCTCCACAGGAAGGAGCCTTTCCCAAGCCAACCCTTGGTTGCATAGGTATGTATTCAGGGTTACCTAGGAGCCCCAGGGAGCCATGAAATAGCCCCAGAACTCAGATGAAGTCTGATTTCATGTTGGTGTCGTTTTTTGTTGGTTGGTTTGGTTTTTGAGGCAGGCTCTCTCGCTTATGTAGACCAGGCTGGCCTATGCCTCCTGAGTGCCGGGATGGAATGTGCACCAACACTCCCAGCTCGTCTTCAGGTGTCTTAAATGATTGAGCACCTCTTTTCCTGTTGTAGACGAGGCTCTCTTTCACATCATGAAATCGTAGGACCACAGAGATCCCTCTAGGTCACAGTGAGGGAGAGGGTCCAAGACAACCATAGACTGAGGTCAGAGAAGTCATGACTTTTGTCAAGAGGGGAAATGACCCATTTTCCAGGGACCAGAGTAACCATGGTGCTACCTAGTACTCAAATCATCAGGCTCTACACTGTCCTTGGATGAATGGAAGCACTGTGAATATTCATACCAGGGTAAGAGGTGTTATAATTTAAGAAATGCGGCACACAAGAGAAAGACACCAGGTGACAGGGTTCAAGCAAAGGGTTTATTATTATTATTATTATTATTATTATTATTATTATTATTATTATTGAAAGGGATCCTAAAAGGGGAAAAGAGGAGGGAGAGACTGGCCTCCTCTGGAAAACAGGAGCAGCAGGAGAGAGGAAAGAAGAGGAGCAGGAGGGAGAGGGAGAGGGAAAAGTGAACAGAGAGACAGAGAGAGAGGATGGGAGGTGGGCGGGGCCCTTTTAAAAGGGAACATAGTGAAGGTGCACAGGTGGTGCTCTTAGTGGCTGCAGCTGAAAGCGCATCCTGGGAGAAACCCAAGGGCAGGCCAGTGCAGATGCCTGAATACTAACACGTGGCATGAGCCAGGATACGTGGGTGGGCACGATGACTTCTCTAGCTGTGTGGGAACTTCCCTACCTGGACATGGGATTTCATTACTCAAAAATGGATACAGATTCTATTTCATTAAATGCTTCCAAGTACTGCAGAGTTTCTGTGCTAGTTTACATCGGGCATAGCCTGTGCATGGTACTAATGTAACTGGTACTGGTTACTACATGTGAAATTAATATTACCACACTTCCACGTCTTTGACAGTAATTGCTCTTGAAGAGAGAGGAAAGAGGGAGAGAAAGAAACTGGGAAATCTAACAGGTGTCTTTCACTTGAGTTCATTGTTTTGCTTTGTCCTTTCTTAATTACTAACCCCCCCCCCCAGTACTTCCTGAAAAGTGTGTTAGCCCCTCAGGTTTCCCTCTCAGGAAAGAACCTGTTCAAGTTCTTGCCCATTCTTCTGATCCTGCTGTTTCCTAGCTTTCTTCTTCGTTTACAAGAGTTCCCTTGTGACCGATACACATTGAACGCCTCTTTATCCCTAGGCTTTGTCAGTGTCTTCTCGCTGTAGGTCATCCCTATAGTTTTTACCCCTGGTATCTTTCTTTAACTAGAAACAAGTATAGTCAGACCCACTGCGTTTTGGACTGACAGTCTGATCTACAAATCTTGCCAAAGACATTCTTCCTTATGCCTGGGTCACAAAGTTAGCCTCGTTTGTAGCTATGATGGTTAATTTTAGTTATCACCTCAACACAATCTAGAAATACCTTGGATGAGAATCTCACTGAGGGACTGTCTAGGTTGGGTTGGCCTTGTGGGAATGTTTGTGGGGAATTATCTTGATTATATTAACTGAGGTGGGAAGATCCCATCCACTGTGGGTGACATCATTCCCTAGGCAGAAGAACCCAAACTGTATAGGAGTACAGAAAGGAGGCCATCTAGATAGTTCAGTTGGTAAGGACACTTGCCTCAAAGCCTAACAACCTGAGCTCAATTCCTGGTGGAAGGAGAAAACCGAGTCCCACGAGTGGCCCTCTGATCCCACGCATGCATTGGCATGTACACATACACACATAAGTAAGTGGGGAAAGGGGGGCTGAGTGTGGGCATGGAAGCACTGAGTCGTTGCCCTCTACACTTGGTTGTGAATGTGATGTGGTCAGTTGCCTCAATCTCCTTCCCCTTTGACTTCCCTGCCATGATGAGCCATATCATGGGGTTATGAGTTGACCCCTTCCCCCCTAAGTTGTCTTTTTCCAGGGCATTTTGTCACAGCAATAGAAAAGAAATAAGACACATATATAATGTGGTTTCAGTCTATGAGGGGCCAACTTATAGATCTGGTATTAAGTGGTGGCAGGTTCCACCATCCCTAATACTGTGAACCAGTTTCCTTCAAACAATCTTTTTCTCTTCTGCAATGGACTGACTGTGCCCTCCCTACAGTGTTGTGTATTAAAGTCATAACCCCAAATATGAGGCTTCTAGAGGCCAGGGTACTGGGGAGGCCAGTTAGAGTTGGAGGGTGGGGCCCACATGAATGGGGTCAGTGTCCTTATAAGAAAAAAAGACACCAGAGACCTCCTTTGCTCTCTCCACCATATGAACACAGTCTGACTCCTTAGGAGAATGTCCTCACCAGAACCTGGCACATTCGGCTCAGAGCTCCGGTCTGAAGAATAGCAAGAAAGGGCTCTTACTGTCTAAGCCACCCAGCCTATGGTAACTGACTGAGGCCTACACAGCTTGCCCACAGTGACTTCAATATCATCAAGCAGACTATTTCAATGGATGTGAGATGACTTCTCCGCCCTGTTCTACGGATTCCCAATACTATGCTATCAATGTTAGCATTTTTAAGTCACTCATTGACATTCTGTGTACATGTATGTGTTCATGTAAGTACATGTGTGTGTCTGTTTATGCACAGGGGTAATCTCAGATGGCGACAATTTGTTTTTTGAGACAGGACCTCTTCATTGGCCCAGAACTCAACTGTTGAGTTGGCGTATGAATTCCCTTTCTGCTGCTGTCATAAAACACCCTGATAAAAGGCGACTTAGGGAAGAAGGGTCTCATTTTAGCTTACTGGTCCAGAGGAGAGACAGTCCATCATAGCAAGGAAGACATGACTGTAGGACCTCAAGACCTGCCTGAGAGGCAAGGCAGGAAGCTGGCTGATCACGATCACATTCCATCTGCATACAGGAAGCAGAGGCAGAGCAGGAAGGAGGGTGAAGCTGGAAACCCTCAAAGACCCCCCTGGTGATGTACTTCCCCTGTCAAGGCCCCTCCTCCTAAGATCTCCCAACTTTCCCAAACAGTGCCATCAACTGGGGACTAAGAGTTCAAATATTTGAGCCTATGAGGACATTTCTCATTCAAGTCACATCACTCAGGCTAGCCAGCCAGTAAACCCCCAAGTTCCCTGATCTCCACCTTCCCAGTGCAGGGATTATAAACACATGCTGCCATACCCAGATTTTCATATGGGCTCTGGGGAATCAAATTTAGGTCCTATGTTTGCACAAGAAGCACTTCACCAGCTGAGCTATTCCCTAGCCCAGTAAGTAATCAACATCTTCAGAACTCTGGGTTTCAGATAGGTCAGATTTCCAGCACTGACACTTCTTGCTTCATGCTCAGTCACCTGGTGCAGCAGGGACCTCCTTGCTATG